ACACTCAGTCCATCTGTACATGCTTCTGAGCAGCAGGAAATGACCAGCTGTGGCAGCTTTGGCCTGAGAGGCTGATGACCCTTACCTAATGGGTCAAAGCGATGAGTCGTTTCTATGCTTTCAAGTCTATGTAAGACCTATAGTCCTGACCCTTAAAGCCAGTCTGACACACCCTAATCCTGTCTGAATAGGGTTTTTGTCATATAACTTCTCTAACCACGTTTTAAGCAAAAGGCACCCAGATGAGTTAACCCACTGCAAGGCTTGTGGAGGTGAGGGGTCCGACCAAAGCTGAGCCCTCTGATTGGAGCAGTGTTTTCAAATATCCAACATAAGGCCCTAGGCACAAAGATAAAGCCTGAGTGGATCAATAATGCTGGACCAGACAGACTGGGCGGCCTAAATTTGACAGTGAATTCAATTGACAGGCATGTAAATGGTTGAAGTGGAAGGTTGGTGAAGAACGGAGGGGCAGAGCAAAGCCTGATTGATGAGGTGAAGAAGTCTCTTAGCATGGGAGGGAGCCAGGCATCGATAAACACATCTACAATGTGAGGATCAAGCCTGGCAAGAGGAAGCAATCCATTTGGGCAAGGAATGAAAAGCTAAAAGATGGGCATCCACCGTGAAGATGATTAGAAACATACGAAATATATGTAGCTGCGTTGACCTTCAAGTTGGACCAATACATGGGATTCATTGAGGAGACAGATTTGAGTTAGGAGTTAGTTTCTTGCTTGGCTGTACTTCTGTGATCTAGGAAAGAACAGATAATATGGAAAAGCAGTGTGCTAATCAGAGCCAGTATCATCAGCAATATGAGCCATATGAGTCTAAATACTAAGAACGCTGGTATAGTTGGACAGGCTCTCTTACAAATAGAAAATACATTCATGATTACAGATGGGCAAAAAACAGTCACCAGTCTGGGATCATTTTCTGCTGAGAATGGAAAATTTTACATTGTGCCCATTTCACAATACCCTGGGTCACATTGCTGGTTCCCCTTAGTGTACTACAGTAATACCTTCTCAGATGTTGGTATTGCTTAAAAGTAGTTTCACAGTGACTCTTTCAGGAGAGAGCACCGGTATAGAGCTGCCGGTACTGTTTTCCATTTCTAACAACCCACTGATTGGGCTGCCACTATTATTCACAGTCAGTGATGTATCTTGGACTTCCAGAAGGCATAGTGTGGCTTTTTTTTATCAAAACATTGGTCACACCTTTTGGACATCAAAACGTGATTGGAGAAAACAATTCCTGATCGGGCAGTTTTCCGCTCTGTGTTTGAAGACGTTAACCCTTTTTTCCTATCCAGAGCTGAACAATGAAACAGAAGCAGTACTACAATACTTGCCGAGTTCAAGTACAAACATGATTCTGTTGAATAAAAAATAACAAAAGATTACAGACAAGATTTTTTTTTTAGTTCCCAGAAATCAGCAGACCTTCTTTCAAGGCATAGAAGGTACCCTTCTGATAATATGACAAAAATATCATGATACTTGAGAACGTTTCACAATAAAACGTATGTATCATGATATTCAAAAAGGAAAAACTATTAGTGCAGTTTTTTTCAATGTTTGCAAAAATAAAAAGCAAATTTGAAAAGCAACAGGAAGAAAAATCAAACACACACAAATACACTCACACACACAAAGCTGCTTTTCCTCCTTGGTCTTGGATGATGCTGGAGCCTATCCCAGCATTCACTGGGCAGAAGGTAGGAAACACCCTGGATGTGTCGCCAGTCCATAACAGAGAAAAATCAAACAGTTAGAACCAATAAAATAGTAAAATAAAATAATGACATAATGGGCTTGCATAGTCAGCTACTTGCAGGTATTATTCAGTGGTTATTGTTTACAGGCTCTTTATAATTAGCCTAAATATGCCTTTTTATGATACAGCCATTCAGTGTTTTAGGATTATTGATGATACCCACACTCAGAACATATTGTGATGTAATATATCACTGTATCAACAACATATCATCATATTGCACACCACTCCCAGTAAAGTCTTTGCCCTGTGAATCAGTAGATGAACTCTTGTCTAATCCAACTGAGCTTTAACAACTATATGTCACTTCAAAAACACTGGAGCAATGGAGAGTAAAGAGCTGTAGAACTATCTGAAGATCCAAATGATAGCTAATGCAAAGAACAGTCCATCTAACTTTTAAATGTATTATCCAAGGTGTTTTAGTGTCATATTTCGTATTCATGTGTTATACGGTGGTCTGCTGGCCTCAACCATGTTTTACACTGGTGTTTGCATCCTGAAGCTTTTCACTGTTTGCAGATGCAGCAGCAGGTCTACGAACTAATCACGTTTAGCAAGTGAGAAGGTCATCAGCACAGCTTAATGGGCTTTTCATCTCACTGGAAGCCGATGACGGGGAAACTTTACAATTAGTCAGGGGGTTCCGATCAATGCTATAACAATTTAGCTGCTGGGGTCAGTTGCGCCTTACGCTGGGATGGAGGAGGAGGACAGGAGAAGATTGATGAATTCAGGAGGAAGGGAGGAAGGTGGTAACCATTGTGAGGATTTCTTTAATTTCTCGAATGTTGCTTTTCTATTTTTTATCCATCTTTCATCTGTCCTCTCTTTTGCTAAAACTATAGGCCTGTAGGTGTTTGAACAGACCCTTTTTATGCTATGCCCAGTATAGTACCACTCAAAAGTTTGGATTTATGTTTTAAAGACATATTGATTGAAATGGCAGTGCATAAATACTTGAAATTTGTTTCTACAGAAATAAGTCGTGGAGCCCATCGATTTGACTAGCTTGTACAGTTCCAGTAAAAGTTTGAATAGGTTATACTTAATTGATCCTACTAGGGAAATTAGTCATTTTGCTGCCTAACTATGCCAAGCCTGGGAGCAGCACAGCAACTCCAACACAAGAGTACTGCCTGGGGTAGTGCTATTCGCAAGAGTACAACCATGTTTACCCAGTCAGTCCTGAGATTTGTACCCACAACCTTCTGGTTATACCTGAAATAATGTGTGCTTTTCATAATCTTTGAGGCATTTAATTTATTTCTAGATCAAATGTGATGAGATAAGTTGATATCTATGTATGACTAGTGCTCAGCAAATGTGTAGAGCCTGTCAAAGAAGCATCCCAAGCTGGTGTAAATGACGTTACTAGAAAGAATGGGGGGCTACTTAGATTGATCTTCAGTAGAAGAAATTCACAACATCATAATTTATTTCATAGGTTTAATGTCTTCACTAGCATTCTAAAGTGAAGAAAATGGTAAACAAGGAAAACGCATCTATGACACATCTATGAGTATGTGCCCAAACCTTTGATAGTATATGTAATCCATATGTATATCTATAGCTACAGTTTGTCTACATCTGCTCTTAGTCTAACATGCACATTGATTCTCTTTTTCAGCTAACCAACAATGACCTTCTCAGACCACCCTCCTAACCCAAACTGTTCCGTTTCCTAAATTACAAGACTGCACCATCTAGTGAAGGCTCTGTGTTGGAAACTGTCCTTATCGTTATCATCATTTGTCCTTGCAAGGTTGCAAACACAGAGTTTGGACAGAGTTTAGCCTAGATTCAGTGTCTTTTGTAAACCATAGCTGTGTCAGGTGTCAATGAACTACTATATAATTCAGTACCCTATGATACAATACAGTACACTGCACTACACAATGTGTCAGCCATTTGGTTGGCTGGTTAAATTGTAGTTGTCATTCCTTTAGCCTTATGATCTGAGCATGCTGTGCCATGCTGCATTGCTACAAGCAGTTCAGAATGATGAGATAGCAGGCTTTATCTGCAGTGAAGAAAGCATATGCAGCCTGTTATACAGACCTATTTAAAAATAATTTCTGCTTTTTAGCTTCTTGGTCATTCACTTGTATGAAGTGCTATCTGTTTTCTATAGCCCTGCTATTAAACAACCATGTGTAAATCTATAGTTATGTCCTAACCATAAATTAAAAGCCTTTCATCTGGATTGCATGAGAGAATGGTCAGCCTCTTTTACACCTTCTCAATATATCAATATGCCTTTATAATTTCAGCATAATCAAGGCCCTTTAAGATTCTTGCTGTATAATTGCAGTCTGCCAAGCTACCATTATCTGAAGCAGTGAATTATTGATTGGTAAGCTTCCAATGAAAGTTCCAGTCTTTATGAAGTCTGTCACTGGATCAGGGTCCCTAGTGGACAAGGACTGGACAGGAAGTGATCGCTCAAAGTGGGTTCCTGGTCTTTGAAGATGAATAATGAGAGTGTCTTTGTAAATACTTAGTTTACCTTTAACTTAAAGTCAACTAAACATCTCTAAACTGGCTCTAATCCTAATCCTAATCATGACCTCATCCCAAAACCTAAACCCAGTCCTCACTCTGGTCCGTACCACTATTTAGAATCAACTGATGATTTGAACATCTGTAGATATTCTTTAGGAGGCTATAATGTACACACTAACACACCACCACCACGTCAGTGCCAGTGCATTGCTGAGAATGATCCACCAACCAAATAACACCTGCTTTGTGGTGGTCCTGTGGGGGTCCTGACCATTGAAAAACAGGGAAAAAAGGGGGCTAACAAAGTGTGTAGAGAAACACATGGACTACAGTTTGTAATTGTAGACCCACAAAGTGCACCTATATGGTAAATGGAGCTAATAAGATACAAGGTAGGTGAGTGTGTACCTCAAGGGCTCACCAGTGTGTGTTATTTTAAACATAGAATGGTGAACTAACCACTTGATGTGATAATATTATGCATTAGGTTTTTTACCAGATTGTACTTTTGTTGGAATCTGCGAATGCCTAGAATGCTTCTAGATTTATCTGGAGCATCTGAGATTTGGTCAAGATCAGATCTGTGATCGGCATCACAGAAGTGATTATTGCCGTAACAATTAGAAAAATATATACTGTGCAGCCCTAAAGAAGAACTTGTGCGATGTCTATAATTAACCATTCTGTCTGTCTCTCTCTCTTACACACAGACCCAGCTGCAGTGGACTGTGAGCAGTATGACTTGTCCGTGTTGGCGGATGCTCTGAGATTTTACCTGCAGGAGCTGCCGTGTCCACTCATCCCTGCTGTGGTCTACAGTGAGCTGGTCTATACTGCTCAGGGTAAGCAGTCTTCTTTAGATGTAGAGAAAATGCGACTCCTAACAGCTGTGCAAGACCTGGTAGACCACCAAAACTGCCACCATCAGATAAACAGTACAATAGCTTTCATCTTTCGGATGAGGAGAAAATCAAGCTCCACTCTTGCTTCAGATCTGAAAAAATCCACAGGTGTTTCTGAAAGAAAATAGACAAAGAATTTGCAAATCAAAGAAGCTGCTGTGTTTGTAGGACAATGGAGTGACCACCCCAGAGTCCAGACCTCAACATCACTGAGTTACTTGAATAGCCATTTGTACTTGTGCTTAATGACTGGAAATTAAGTAAATGAATGGTGGTGTGTAACCTTTGCACAGTGCTGTATGTGTTAAATAAAGCCTGGGAAGAGTTGTGTAAACAAGGCTGTAAAGCTTTTTTTTTCTTTATTTCATCTCTAAATTTGGTTAACATGAAAGTAATAAAATAAGTTAAAGAAATATATGAAGTGCTTTCACTGAGTAAACTGATAGTGTGTGTGGCCTGTTCAAAATCGCTCCATATCACACTGTTCAGTCAGCAGAGGGTTTTGGTATGCATATGTGGGAGTGTGTGTGTGTGTGTGTGTGTGTGTGTGTGTGTGTGTGTGTGTGTGCGTGTGCGTGTGTGTTTTAGCGGGGGTGCTAGCATGCTTGAGGGTGAGATAACACCATTTCTCTCTAACCTTGTTCGGAATTACTCCCACAGAAACCAACGCACACACACACACAAGTGCACACACATCTGACTTCCTCTTAGCCTCGTCTGATTGCTCCTGAGCATGGCCTGATTTCACTAGGACAGACTGGCTGAATTATGTAAGCCCTGTTCTCTGAGCAGTACCTCATGATGATGACTGCACTGGCCTAGATCTCAGATTTCTATATACGCAACGTTCTCTGAATAGATGATGGTGCATTTATCTAAAATGATCATGGCCCTATATCATCATTATCAGTTATTATTGCAACGTTACTAACCCTGTACTGAAGGGTAGCGTTTGTATAGCTGCATGACACCTACATAAGACCTTCTTGACGACTAATGTAAATCCACATAGACATTTGTAAAAGCTTATTTCAACAAGCGTCAGTTGTCATAAAGGCTGCTTTTGTTACTTTTGTTGTCACTTAACCCCTTAAAATCACAGGCTTATTACATAGTAAGTCATTATTCAGTAACTACAGGGACTTCAGTGCAAACTTGTTGAGCAATTCTTAGATTATTGAAGTGTGTAATAGAAATTTGGGCCCTCTGACAGGCCCTGACCATTTAAGGGGTTAAACTCAAGTGTTACGACAACTGACACTTGTGGGAAGACATTATAAATGTTCGTGTAGGTCTAGTTGTCATGAAAGGCTGGTGCAGGTGTTAGGTAGTCTTACGAATGCCGCCCTTCAGTAACGTAAACGTTCTACACTTGGAATTATCTGTCCTGCCTTATCAGGCTTTACTTACGATTTGCTAAATAAAAGGCCTTTAAAACAGTGAATGTGTAAATTGATGTGCAGTATCTCTACTAGTGTGGATGTTACAGTAAATAACAATATATTTGGTGCAGAAGAGAGGTTATTACATAAACTGTATATTCACTATGTTTATAGTATTTGAATATGTATCCTGCAAGATCTTCTTTTATTTGATTAAGACTGGAACCAGAAGGTGTGCCATATGGTGTATTTAATATTTGTGCATTAAGCTTTTTAAAGAATCAATTAGTCATTATAGCTAATATACTTTTGTGGGAAGTCCTTTTGTCATGGCTTGTGGATGTGAAACAATACTCAGCACCAGTTTTGCCAAGCCGGAGAAGCTTACAGGTACACACCATAGGTTTATTGTTCAGTCTTGTTTTTTTTAAAAAAACTTTTGCACAATAAAAAAAAGATGGTTCTTATTACTAATTATATTAATACTATTATAAAGTGCTGTCAAGTTGATTCTGACTCCTGGCAACCATATGGATAGTGTTTCTCCAAAACATTCTGTCTTCTGAATGGCTGGTTCATGATTCCACTGATTGTATCTGTCCATATTGTTGTGTCTTCCTCTTTTACCTTCAACTCTTTTAAGCATAATGGTCTTTTCCAATGAATTTGATCTGAGAATTTGTTCAAAATAAATATCTGGGCTTTGATTGAGAGGTGTGGATTGATTTGTTAGAGGATCCATTTGTTTGTCTCTTTGCCATCCAAGGTAATTTCAAGTTCAAAGGCATCTATATTTTTCTTGTCTCACTTGTTTATTGTCCAGCTTTCACCTCCATAAAGAACCACAGAGAAGACCGTAGCCTGGAGAATTCTGATCTTTGTTTGTAGAGACAAATCATTGTATTTGAAGATCTTTTTTAAACGCTTTCATCCTTGTTCTGCCGAGGGCCAATCTGTATAATGTTTCTCGAGTGCTGGATCTCCTGGTGTTAATAATTGAACCAGACATCTTCTCCATCAATGGAAACGTTAGCAGTCTTTGCTGTTGTCATAACCTTAGTCGTCATATTGAGCTGAAGTCTCATCTTTAACCTTCTTTGTGAGTGAGTGTGTGTGTGTGTGTGTGTGTGTATATATATAGATAGATAGATAGATACACATTTTTGCTGTATTACCTAGCCTTACTGTTGGTATGTTGTTTACAAAGGCATTATAGATTCACTATAGTTCTCAGCCAGTGACCAGAAGGATAAGCGGTTCAGATGATGTGTGTGTGTGTGTGTGTGTGTGTGTGTGTAGTTCTCAGCAGATGTGCTGCTAATCACTGTCATTAAGTGTTACTTCACAGCTGAGACTAATTGTAATGGCATCTTTTACAGTTATCTGTCAGAGTGTATAAGTCTAAAGTGGTGGCTACTGTGTCCACATCCAGGAATATGATTGGTCAACTACTGGCCTACCCTTCCCCCTGATTGTCCTGTGCTGAGTCCAGATGGACATGGGCAAGTTCCCAGCCATGGCCTACAACCCATGGCCTTTATTGAACAGGGGTCACTCTCCATCGATAAAGGGCAGCTGTTGGGTGAGGGGGGCTGTTCTTCTGCAAATAGCTCGTAATACATCTATGTGTTTGCAGATTTTAAGAGCAAGGATGATGACCAGAGTGTGTGTGTGTGTGTTTGTGTGTGTATGTGCACACACAGGGTGTCTGTAGGCCTGTGGGTCCAGGGCCAAGGTCAAAGTGCTAACCCACATTTCAGACCAGCAGATTGTCAAACATTCATCATTCGACCCCACTCTGCCTCCCACTGCCCATTACCTTTGACCCCTGGACACTTATCTTACATAAGCACTATGGCTGAGGTGCCTTAACTAGCCACATCTTAACGACTCTGCCATGCTTGTAATTCATGGTGGAAGTGTAATGGGCAGGAATGTGTTTAGATTCTAGTTTTTACTTACATTGAAAGTGAACTTGCTTCGACTTACTTAGCATGAATACAAGGTGGACGTGTATGTTAGCCAGTAGGTTCTGGGCAATACATTTTATTATCTATTTTCATTATTTTCATTATGATAAATGACGTCACATTAAAGTATTTGAGTGTATTGTGGAAATCGTCACTGTAACACTGATACACTGCATGTTTGATTACAAAGTGAGCATAATTAGTCCTGTTTAATTAGATTTAGTTCAGTGCCATATGTGAAAATGATAAAAATCATTTTGCTCATATTCTATAGTGTAGTAGAGAGTAATTTTTAATTGTGATTTTTGTGAACTTTTGTCTTTTCCAATGTTTCTAGCCTCAGAAAAGCTAAATATTGTGATACAAATTATGTACTGAGAAAAGTATTGTGATATCACCAAGCCATAGTAGCCACTCTGTGTATGTTCAGTTATTACCGATGCATAGAAACATACACCCTTAGACATATGTGCAAGTGTATAATGCACAAAAATGTGAATTTTCAATTATTTTGCTATTATTATGACATCTCCAACAGTAATCTAACTATAGTATCACTGTGGCTTTGAATGTAATTAGTGATGCTATAGCTATTACAACTTTAGACATTTACAAAGCACAGATGTGAATTTTCAATTATTTTGCTATTATTTTGTCTTCAAAGCTATGTAAATATTACTCTGACACTATGGCTGTGATGGGTAGTTTTGTAATTTAGATGTTTGGTGTCACCCTTTGTTCTGGGGAAGTGTGGATGAATAACACTCCAGGGTGATGTACGAGCAGGGGTGCTCTTTTAGAGATGAGCCTGAAGCACAGATGTTGGCCCGTTTAGAGTGGGAAGCCCTTTTGAGCAGTGCTCATTAATACGTTGGTTGCTGTCTAAATAAAAGCTTTGTTCCACCGTGCATTAGCAGACAATAGGCTGCAGTATAGCACAAGGCTAGCATGCTAGCCCCTCCTGGGCTCCTGCTAAAGTCCTTGCTTATGGGTTTTATTATGTATCTTGTCATTAATGATGCCATCAGAGATGAGATCGCAGTAGACTATGGGTAACATTTTTTGGCCAAAAATCAGATTTTCTCAGCCAAGTTTGGTGTCTGAAGTTGGCTGCTTAAGTTTTGGAAGCTTATAGCCAGCCCACCACTTAGCGGCATGCAAACTGCAGGCCTTAATCTTCAGAGGTTTGCCTTCTCTGCTGTGAATCACATACTAAACTGACAGCTAATGGCTTTCATTGCTTGTTAGCTTCATTAGCCTTGTATCTCCACTGAAAAACTAAGCAAACTTCAAACATGTCTTGACTGACTGACTGACTAAATTTTGGGTCAGTAAAAATTGTGTAAATTAAATTTTTGGCCTGAAGTATTCTTTACTTTAAAAAAATGGACCATACGCCTGGTGAGCAAAATATTTTTGGTTGATAATCCCAACCTACAGTAGGATTATTTAATTTGCACAGACCACACAAATACTAATGCTTATGTAATTTTCAAGTGTGTATGCGCGCGTTTGTGTGTGTATGCGTGCATGTGGTGTGTAGGGGGATGGATTGCTGACTCAGCGTCTTCCCCTTTAGTTCTCATGTCTGCTGCCTCACTCTCTTATGTGACAAACTCCCTGTCTTTGTGGCCTGTTCCAGTAATGACAGCCTGTCTTCCTCCACCATGCTGCACACTGTGGCCTCCCCAGCACAGACAGACAAACCACCGAAGGGGGAGATACCCAGCTGCAGCAGTTTCCAAAAGGCTGCTCACGTAGCACAAAACGTGGAGGAGGTGCAGGGCTGGGGTTGAAAATTAGGCCAGTGATTTGACAAAATGACTCTCGTATGCGTGTGGGCCTATATCTGAAAGAAATGTACCAAACTACAATTATCTCAAATGCGTATGTACGTTGTATGGAAAGGTTTGAACAGCCCTGGTCAAATTACACGTTTTGCTGATTTTGATGTGAAAATAAGTGAACACTTCATCTTAAACACGAGAACATATGGCATTTTCTGCAAATTTTTACTCATTTTTCATTTATCTGCTGAGTTAAACATATTGCAAAAAATAAAAATAAAATATAAAATATAAAATGTGCCATAACATTTGCACAGGCCACATTGTATGTTTTATTTTTTCCCCAGTATGTCAAATTCAGCAAATAAGAAGTAAGTGTGCATTAAAATGTGTTCTCTGTAGAGGATGTGTTTATCTCAGTTAGAAAATCAACAAAGCTTGTAATTTGACCAGGGCACCCAAACTTTTGCGTGTGACTGTATGATGCTTATACTGGAAGTAAGAATGCTGTTAGCATCAGTACTGCTCTCTTTTGTCAATCTTTGGCTTCATCATAGAGAGATGTTTGCTTTTACAATAAATATACAGTATGCTTCAGCTCTGTTTAGACACAGAGGTGTTCCCTGCAGCTCAGATTTTATTCTAGAAATGTGGTTCGAAGCTTGTGGTAGGGTGTCCTGGGACTATAGTAGAAGTTTTTGTGGCCGAATCGAAGCCCAAACTCAATTCATACCAGTCACTTTGAGACCTGGCCTGACCAGGCCTGGCTGGTACTGAAACAGAACCTGCTCGCATGCACTAACAGAGATGGTTTTACAGTGCTTTACTTTGTTAGTAAGCAATTTTTTTGATCGACAGAAGATGTTGTGCTGACGGAAAACTGGTATTTTATACATCTGTAATACACTATAAAGAGTATTTATTATGATAATATTTTTGTGAAATTGCTGATCTTACCTGGCAGAGAACAGCATTCACCCTCCTCTGAGCTACTGTTAGCTGTGTTGTGCTGAACTTCCTCACGCTACTGCTGCTACTGCAGAAACGCTTAACAAGCACCAACCTAACTCATCCCTCTTACCCATGGTGTGCCTGAGACTGAAGTACTGTTGAACTGCATCCAGTTTCTTTTGGGTGCATGTTCATCCACTCCTTGAACTCCTTTAAGTGAAAACTACATTAAGCTACTACAAAAATTACTTGTTAGAAAACAAACCATAGAGTCGTATGCAAAAAGTTGGGCACCCCTGGTCAAGTTACATGTTTTGTTGATTTTCTAAGTTCAAACAAGTTCATACATACTATACAGAGGACACACTTCTGCATATTTTAAGGCACTTGTTGTAGTTGACCTATTAGGGAAAACCAATAAAACTTAAAGTGTGCAAAAGTTACGGCACTTTTTTATTTTTTATGTTTCAAGTTTTTGCAATATGTTACACTCAGCAAATAATTGGAAATTGTGCACTAAAATGTGCTGGAAATTCCATATTTAACTGTTTTCTCCATGCACACACACACTTTCTAAGCTGATCCTGCGATCCTGGGTCGCAGTCACTTGGAAATTCAACAAAACGTAATTTGACCAGGGGCACCCAAACTTTTGCATATGACAGTACATATGACAGTGAATAATCAGACTGGACCTGGCTCAAAACTGGACTTTTTTATTTATATGTATAAATATATATTTTTGAAGGATATAAACAATTTAAACAGTGTTGCAAGTTTTGCGACAGCTGTGATATACAAAATAGTTAAAAATGTTTTGGATCTCATTATTAAATGATCCCTGTTATCCTCACAGAAACTCAGAGTTTGGAGGAGTGTGGTCAGCAGCTGAAGAGAATCCTGGACTCTCCCAGCATCCCACAGTCTAACCACCAGCTTCTGGTCTATCTGACCCGACACCTTAGCAAGGTAACCCAGAGTGGAGGGGCTGCTCAGGTCAGTCCCAGGCTGCTGGGCCAGGTCTACAGTGAGGCCATCTTCAAAAACAACCACTTCAGGTAAGAAACATACTGAATGACTAAGATAGATGTTCTCTGCAACTTGTATTTTAACCCTAGCCCAGGCTTTCGATCATGGCTTTTCTTCTGAAATTACCTCTGAAACATACAGAACATGACGTCAGTGGAAAATAATGTTCTGCGCATTATTTTATACCTGAATTGCTTTTAGGGATAAGTGGCTGTACTCCTGTAAGTACCAGAGAAGCTCCATTTAATGCTTTGAAATGTAAGATTTGGCTATATGGCCTAGAACTGCTCATAAAAGGCCAATATCCAGCATTTCGCTAGTTTTTTTTCCCCAAAGTCCACTTATAATGTTTGTGTGGGTTTATGTAGCAAAACACTCATAATCCATTTTACATGGCCATTTTCAACCTCTCTTTATACCTTAGAATTAAGCAGGCTGTTGTACTGTGTTTTTAAGACTGATATATGGAAATGAGATCTGTTCTGAGTGGCTATGCTGCTTTGTGCTTAATTCAAAAAGCAGTCAAGGCTGAAACACTCCTTATAACTTCATGGTGAATGGGTGGGGCTAAACTGCTGTTGACCAGTAGATGAATGTATGTAAGTGCATTTACATATAGCCACTCATAACATCATGAAAACAGTAAAATCCACACAGGACTGGGGAGTGAAGAGTGCATTCTGAAACTTTAAGGAAAATTCTGTTTTCCATGATATGACCCCTTTAACACAAATTTATATGGGATGTTTTCATTATAATATCCTGTAAAATGATGATAACATATTTATATGTTGCAGTTTTACAGGCAGCATGATGCATTCCCCATGAGTGTGCTATAGGAAAAGCACATCACTGTAATGATTGTTCTATTAACTTTTTAATTTCAGTCACAGTGATAAAAACAGTGATAAACTGCAGGGGTGTAAAAGTAATCCCAAGGCTTCTAATATTTCTTACATCTCATCACAATTACCTTGTAAACAGTGACACCATATTCTCTATAAAGTGGCTCACTGAATAGGGGATTTTAATATGCGTAATAAGGAGTAGTGTGGTTGTGAGTCATTGGGCATACAGCGTGTGTATTGTGCTCCACTAACTGGCATCACTCTTATTTGATTGTGATCTGCTTCCCTGTCTCAGTGCCAAGTTAAGGAACAGCAATGGGACTTTCCTTTTTCTCAGTGTCATCCACTACCCTGAGATTAGGAGTGGGAGAGGCTGTATTATGCCTTAAACAGTCATTTTGTTTAGCCATCAGCTTTTGCTCATGCTGAGGACTAAGGTCATAAAAGCCTCTTAGGACTAAGAAATAAGAAATAAGTCTTTTCTTCCATACCAAAAAAGTAATGCAAGAAATGTGTCCATCGTTTCCACCTAAATAAAATACTCAGTGTTGTAACAACATTGTTGCCTCATATTATCAAAATAATAACATCAATATATGTTAAAGGAGTGAGATGTATTGAAGTAATTGTGGACCAGTTCAGTTTGTCCATTCCTCTTGATATGTACACATAAAGTAAAGAAAATAAAGTAAAAAAACAGTTTTTGATTGTGACGATATACAGCACTATTTTTTCTTTTACTTTGAAAGGCACTGCACTTGATGTTAGAACATTACTGTGATGATTTGATTGCATTCAGCCACAAGAGCATTAGTGAGGTCAGGTACGGACGTTGGATGATTAGTTCTGGATCACAAGCGCCTCTTAGCTCATCCCAAAGGTATTTGATGCCTCTCCATCACTCGAGAACACAGTTTCATTGCTCCACAGCCCCATGCTGGGGAGCTTTGCATTGGGTTTGGTGACATTAGGTTCATGTGTGGCTACTCCAGAGCGTCCAGTTTTATTGGCAGTGCATTTCTATGGAGATTACACAAGCTGTACGTGTGCGGAAGAAGGGGTGTGTGGATATTTTTGGAATAGGTGTGTTGATGTAATATTAGTGATGCGCCCTAATGAAATCAAAATTTAAGACACACCCAGTCAGAAATCGAGAGTAATTATCTTATGCTTTAAATAGACGTAATAAACATAAGAAATTACAAGGTAATAAAAAATAGACTTTTATTACTGATAAAATAGGACAAATGGGACAAAACTGAACTGACAGTAAATAAAAACAGTTCGCATAAAACAAACCTACAGTAGGAAGACAATACAGAGTGGTTTATCATCCAAGGCAATACATTTAAATATATTTTATTTATACTTTGCACTTTGACTGTCGTTTGTATATTTGTCTGTCTTGAAAAATTGTGGCTGTAGATGGCATTAGCATGCTAACAGGGACTTTCTTTTCTGCTTCTGTTTTTTGCTTTACTCCATATCGATCATATTTGATCATGTTTTTAAGTGGTATTAGTAGTGGAGACGTTCTTGGGTGTTGTACCTCCTCTTGATACTCAGCATAAACAGAGATTATAAATCTCTTGTCTAGTCCATCATAAAAACTGTAAAAATGGTTCCACACAATCAGCGTTTTTTTTCCACTGTTTGTCTTCTGCCACTTAAACTGTTTGCTAAAGTGTTTGTCTCTGCTGATCAGGGCAGGAGAGGGAAGGGAACCAAGTTGTTTTCATTATCATTCAGATGATTTGTTAAGTGCTAGATTTTGACATTTTGTGCAGACCTGTTTAATCTTTTGTTTTTTTTTCGGCCAAGATTTTTTCTTACTTTTGGCTAAAAAAGAAAGTGCTTTTTTAGTCAGTTTTTGGCTGAAATCTTTTGATGACCAAAATGTTTCGGTGGCCGAAATTTTGCTGCATCCCTATGTAATATATTTATGTTAAAATCAAGTAAATTACTTTTTTCATTCATACTGAAATGAAATAGAACAGAGCTCTGAACATAAACAGGACTTTCAAGCACATCAGCCACTGTGTCTCATGCCAAAGAGAAGTGAGTGTGAGCAGCTTAACCTGTGAGTGAGCTCGCATGTGTGAGTGTGTCTTGTGTGTGTGAATGCATGAGTGTTAAAGTGTTACTTTGCCCAAACAGGTCTTTCTTTTAACCTCACATTTCAAAGGTTTATGAACGATAGTTAAAGTGCAGTATTTGAGTCTCTCCATCTATCCCTCTGTTTCCAGTGCCGATGTGAACCCAGAGCACCATGTGAAGATTCTAGAGGCTCTCATTGTGGTCGGAGGCCTGATGGAGATGCAAGCTGCCCCAGGTAGGCCAGCCCTCCATTGGGCCTCTTCTTCTCCTCCTGGTTAAGGGGTGTTAACTCCTTTAACCATGGTAAATGACTAGGATACAAGGGCTTGAATGGCTACAATGTGATAAAATGCACTAATGTTCAAAGAATAATTTGTTGTGTTTTATTGTGTTACTTTGCAGTAAATAGCTGCAATAAACAATTCTTCCACAAAACAATGTAGTTCTTTAATGTTAGGTTTTGATTTCCAAGCAACATGGCATCTTTATTCATCTGACAAGTCTTTTAAGCTTTTTAATATCTTGCTGTATTAATACAAAGGTCAGTAAATCTGTGTGGTGTGCTACAATGTTAATGTTTGTTCTGGAATGTCGGGTCAGTGTGTCATGTAGCCAATAGTTAGCCCTTTTTAAGCTATTTTTTTTTTAGCATTTGAGATGTTGTTCAAGTAATGAATGAAAAGCACATGACTTTGAAGTAGACATTCAGATTACCCTTCAAGTAGGTTTTGAGTTGTGGAAATTTATACATGGTATGGACATTAAATTGTGCAACTGTGCCTCAGGAAAATGGGACACCTAGGGTTGCCATGTGCCTGGTTTTGGACCATACTGTCTGTTTTTCAGCTCTGTTGTCCAGTGTCCGATTGGTACTATGTCAGTGTGATGAGGCAAAGGTATTGCCCATCACCAGGGAGACTTTAAGACTGTGTGTGTGAGTGTAATACTTACTTGTATACCTACCTGTTATACTTACCTATAATAATCACCTGTTGTCTGTTCCGTAGCAGAGTCAGTAAAAGGCAGAGCAGGCTGAGCTCACTCATGAGTATGCCAGAGGGCCCACGGCCAGCTCATGGGAGGGGTGATGTCTGCAACCTAGAACCTATAAGAGAAGGAGAGACAGGTTAAGGAATGTGTGCACTGTATTCAAAGTACTCCTGTGTTTGTACTTACCGTTGTTGTAACCCATTCTTGTAGGATAGTGACACCCCTGTGAAGTGAAATGGTTCCGCTTAGGTAATACAGGGGCAGGGCATATCCTAAAAGAAGTGAGGGAGAGGGTTAGTAGAAGGGGGATAGCTCGATGGTGCTCACCTCAGGCTGAGAGAAAGCTGAGGGACAATATGAGCAGAGCTAACTGAAAGTGTAGTTCCACGGCCTTGTGACCTAGAACGAATCGTCTCTTTTACCATTCAGTCACAACCTACTCTGTGACTTTGCGTCTCCTCACGGAGTTCGGCGAAGCATCGTCACAGTCAGTCTAAATACATTTGTTGAAGTAGATAAAGTGCTAGTCTTGCCCTGTTAATTTGGTTATCTCTATCTCTCTCTATCTCTCTCTCTCTCTCTCTCTCTCTCTCTCCTTCCATCACCAACATACACCAATAGTGACCAGTCATGTCACCCGACGTGCAAATGTTTTTGATTGTGTGCTCATTAAAGAAATATGAAGAAAAATGTAAAGGCATATATAAACCTGTATAGAAAATATTTTTTAAATGGAAAAACATAATAAATAAAACAGAGATAATTATCAAACTGTTTTAAATGCACCAAAAAGTGAGAAAGGGGGATGTGGTAAAGACATATCGCATGCTTCCTCCGACTAGCCCCCTATTTCCGTTTTTGCTCTGGACGAAATCTGGCAACCCATGTGATGCCCCTGTTTTCATTTGAGGTTCCAAATTTTCAAACTTCTCCACTCCTTTTTTAACAGATGGCTTCAGAGCTGATGTCACTTATTTGATCGTTGTCACCTCCTCTTTGGAGATTGTATGTGTTAGTGAGGATGCTGTATCTCTGACTCGTTTGGAAGTGGTTAAGTCGTTTCTTCATTCCCAACCAAAATCAACAGAGTGTGTGCTTTTGCATGTCTTAGTGAGTCAGTGACTGATTGGGGCTGCTGAGGGGGCCGGTGAATGTTTGTGGATAGATGGCAGAGGAAGAGAGCAAGGAGAGGAATTGTGGATGATCCTTCTATCCAGAGCCTGGCTCAACATTAGTGACTCCAGCGAAGCCTGACAGCAGTGTTGCAAAGAATCTGGCCTTCCTACCCGAGTGTTTGGCAGCCAGGGCTTGCTCCGTGCTCCGTTTTGTGGTTTAATGAAAAGATTTTGACTTAGGCCTGTTACAGTTCTCTCGGCTGGAGTTTATTTAACTTATGCATTTCTCACACTGGGAGAATGACCCCGCACCTCCCTTGACTACCAAAACATACAGTTTTGGTCATGGAACCTCCGACGCTACTACTGAGAAATGCTTACGGGCACCCAAAGCTTACAATTTTCTAGGTTTGTTCTGTGAGCCATCATAAATAAAGTTTTATAGCTAATTTTGTAGAGAAGGAATAATATGATAGATATTTTTGTCGAGAAGGGATGATTCGAATGCTTAGATGAAGACCTCAGTGTGATAAGACATTGCTGGAGTTCGTTATAAAATATTGTTTTGTCACAGAGGCAAATTAGACTGAGGAAATGTATACAGTCAGAGTATGCATTAAAGCACTGTCTGCATAAGTGCCAGTATGTATTGGATTTATGTGACAATAAAAGAAGAAAGTGATGAAGGATGCTTAATTTATTCAAACTAGCATAACATCAGTTTAGATGCAGTGTCACGTTTGATTGAGGTTTATGTTTTTTTTGTGTCTTTCTGTCTGACAGACAGCATGGGTGTTTTTGAGTGGTTTTGTTGTGTATGAGTTTACATGCATACATATTGTTCTTGGAGTATATTTGTGGGATGAGCTGCAATCTAATGCCTAGTAAGAGATGAATTTGTGACATCAATCAAACATTATGGCACATATGCCAAAACTCAATGACTCACCACTGAATGGAGAGAAAAAGAAGAGATTTGTGGCCTGCTGTTGCTGCTGAGGGGTCACCGTTGGGACTGGAGTCATGGTCTGTTTAGTAGGAGCTTTTTGCTCTTTGGCATCTTCACTGCCTGTCAACAATATGGGTACATCTTGCTTTCATTTGAAATTTCCCAAGTAATGTTTGATTTTCACTGTTATAAAGTAACATAGCAGCTATTTGCTAATACCCTGTGTGTATTTTGTGACAGTCAGCTTCATCAAAGCACCTTCCTTGATATAAAGAGCAGATCTTGCAGTTTCTTTTCCAAACTATTGTTAAAAGCACATTTTTTGCCCCAAAAGTGACATTGTTCCCAGTGTAGTTCCTTCAGATTCTCACCTTGCAAAAAAGGCAAGATCTAAACATCTCATATTTAATATATTAAAGCTCTATGTAAGATACACTGTATGGACAAAAGTATTGGGACACCCACACATTAATATGGAGTTGGTCCCCCTTTGCAGCTATAACAGCTTCCACTCCTCTGGGAAGCTTTCTACAAGATTTTTGGAGTGCGTCTGTGGGAATTTTTGCCCATTCATCCAGAAGAGCATTTGCGAGGTCAGACACTGATGTTGGACGAGAGTCCCTGGCTCGCAAGCTCCGTTCTACTTCATCCTAAAGGTAGTTGATGGTTGAGATCAGGGCTCTGTGCAGGCCAGTCAAGTTCTTCCACACCAAACTCACCCAGCCATGCCTAGGAGCTTGCTTTGTGCACTGGGACACAGTCATGCAGGAAAAGAAAAGGCCCTTCCCCAAACTGTTCCCACAAAGTTGGAAGCATACAATAGTCCAAAACGTCTTGGTCTGCTGAAGCATTAACATTATCCTTCACTGGCACTGAAAAACAACCCCATAGCATTATCCCTCCTCCACCAAACTTTACAGTTGGCACAATGCAGTCAGCAGGTAATGTTCTCCTGGCATTCGCCAAACCCAGACTCATCCATCAGACTGCCAGATAAAGCCTGATTCGTCATACGACAGAATACATTTCCATTGCTCCAGAGTCCAGTGGCGGCATGCTTGACCCCCCCACACACCCACACACACACACACACACACGCACACACACACACACACACACACACTTGGCATTGTGCATTTCGATTTTAGGCTTGGAAAGGGAAAAAAACACACTAAAATATGGTGTCTTCTTCTATCAGTCAGTTCATCATGAAATGTTCACTTAATGAAAAGGTCAGCTGGTGTTTTGAAATTTATGTTAAAAATAAATGTTAAAAAGTCTAAATATCTGAGTGCTGTACTTATTTTTTAAATTATCTGCCTATTCCGATATCATTACACATCCCTAAATATAATCACATTGAATTGAACTAATTTGTGGTGAATTTCATGATAGATTCAATTGTTAACTAAAGAGGTCAGGATGTATGTAAATTAGGTGCCTGGTGTTCTTTTTGCATGCACTCAAGCCTGGAACTATATGTTCATGGCCAACTTCAACCCACTGCGGGCGGGCAATCTGTCAGCTATTGGGCAAACAGAGTACTCCCCCACCTCTAATTCTACACACACACACACACACACACACACACACACACATACACAAATACAGGAGGAAACAAAACAACCCATCCATTCACATTACAACTCCTCATTTATTCTCCCAGTTATTTCTTATTTTCCCCATCCCAGAGGCACGCAATACTGTGCCCTCAGAACGGCTGGCTGCCTCCCTGCCTCCAACCCCACATTCAGCCTCTAATACGTTCCAGCTTGGTAAGGTTTGTTGGTAAAACATTGTGTTTAAAGAGTAATCTTTGGGGGTTGTTTTGGACTCGCCTCCTCTTGGATGACTGCGCCTGTCAAAGGCTGATAGATTCATTATGTGTGTGAGTAAGAAAATGGGAGAGTGAGGGAGAGAGAGAGAGAGAGAGAGAGAGAGAGAGGAAATGACAGAGAGAATGAGTGACAGGAAGAGACCCTTTACAACTGAATACAAAATAAGGTCAGTGTTGAAGAGAATTGGAGTTGATTTGTAAGTAGTTGAACATCTGCAAATTAGAGAAAAAAAAGGAAGGAAAGTGTGTAAAAGGATGAGGTGCACATTGATACATGACAGAAAGTACTTCTAGTGTAAGATAATGAACAGATGTATACAGTAGCCTACCATGGTGGCTATTATATGTTTGACTCACACCTTTAGCTGATCTGAACTGATGGTAATTGATCATGTTTGGTGTCTGAAGTTTGCTTCTTTTGTTTTGATTACGATGGGGTTGTGTCATTTGTGTCCCACTGACATTACATTTACGAATATGTATGCAAAGTAAACAATATTTTAAGCATAGATACCGTGTCCTTAACAACAACCTGTGTGCATGTTCATTAAAATCTATTATTTTTGCATTAATGTATTAATTGATTTAAAATCAATTCTTGAATCTTTTTTTTATGAACCGTTCATTATAGGTTATGAAAGATGTACACCTTAATTGTGTCCCAGAACATGCATTCAACCTTGATACCTGACCACATTCACTTCTATGAAATATCATATTTTCAAGTCACATATATTTACATCGTCTAACTTTCCTAAAGATCATGGATTAAAAAAGAAAGTGTTCTCTTTCTCTTTTCTTTAATTTAACAACACTGAGATACTGACTGACACTGTTACTGAAATTATTGATCCAAATTACCCAAATCATATGTTACCCAAATTATAAACTGAAAGTAAATAGTTCATAAAAAATACCTTTTAATAAATCATTAGAATGTCTTTAATATCCTCATGTTATAAGCTTGGATGTTAGTTAACACTTTATGGCACCACATCACACATCAACAGCTATGGCTCTTCAGTTAGCTATAAGAGGAAACTAGCTCGGTATTCCCAAGATGGACATCATGGCAGAGGCTGCAAAAAGACCAACAAAGACGTTGTTGGAAAAAAGTGAGGAAAAGAAAAAGAGGCCGAGTGACTGAGCAAGAGTAAATCTCAGACTGGCTTTTACTCATTGGTCCCTGTCTCATGGAATTTTGTAGTTTTTCCTGATGCCAAAAGTCATCTAACCTCAGTCCCGTTTTAGGCTAGCATGCAAAGAAATAAATTCGTCTTACGCCAGAAAGTTTGGTCAGTCTTTGTCAGTCTCATGCCAAATAAGCCTTGAGTTAAGTAAAATGAGTTTGCAACCTCCAGTAATAAAATCCTGTAATATTACTCCACCTTGTAAGTCGACGTGGTTCTTTCTCTTCTGATGTTATCTTTGTTGTGCCGGATTCTGACAGCCTGGCAGAACCCGACTCTCCTTCACGTGCACGGGCATCACATAGGCATATGGACGCTGCATATTACACTCACGATTTCTGATATATACACATAGAAATTGCGAGTGTAATCTGCAGTGTCCGTATGCCTGCGCAATGTGCATGTACACGAAGGGGAGTCGGAATTTGTATCCTTTAGTCAACAAATGCATGTGTACACAAGGTGGGAGGTTTCAACCCTGTTAGTCATTAATCCATTATGCTTGTATCCTTGAAACCTTGTAATAAATGAGAAATGTTCCTGAGATGGATTTACGTTTTTTGAAGGTTAAACACTTTTCTTTTTCTTAGTTTCAATGAAAAATTATATAAACATATAATTTCAGTGCAGTTCAGTGGGACCCCAATTGTGGAATCTATTTGCTATGTCAGCCTAGTAGTTCCAGTGTAGAACTAAGGAAGCAAATATCGGACACCAAACATATCCCGGCTAATTGACTACACTTAAGGTCGGCGGAAACTTTGCTTTATCACCAAATTATTACTTTAAAGCACTCGTAACTGAAGAGTCTAAGAGTAGTAGAGGATGAATGCGTGCCAGTATGACATCATCAACCATGCTGCACTGTTCACCTAACAGCATGTGTGTGTGTGACTCATTACTATAACCTAGGTCCTGTAGTTTGTTGTGGTGTATGCTCAGCCTTTGATTATGAGGTCAGTTAAAGGCCACAACACGCACTGACCAGGATTACTACAGGCGGAAGACGAGTGCATGATTTTCTCTTTTTTTTTCTTCTCTCTTTCTCTCTCTCTGGTCACATTCCCCTCTGATTATGCTGAGTCATCTTACCACACATTGTTCTCATTGTCCTAAAGCCTTGAATTTAACCTTTTCACATACTTCTTACACACACACAAACACACGTACACACACCCCGGGGGTCAGGGCGTGACCTCCTGGAATTCCCCACTAGCTGACCCTGTGTCCCAGCTGACCCAGTGAAAATGACCATTGCTGTCCTCTCAGCTGCTTGCAATCACATGCTTCAGTGTACCATGTAATAATCTCTTAACTGCCCTGACTATGGCCTTTGTTCTGCAGCTCTGTTTTCCCTTCCTTTCCTTTTCCCATCTTTCCATGCAGGGCCATTTGTCAAGCGTAAGCTCAAATTTGAGGCCGTTCAGGCAGAATTGATGTACTGTAAGTATCCTGTGTCTCAAAGATGGAGGAGTTCTGCCTCTGGATCAATCTTTGCAAAATTCAACATCCCTTGTAAATTTTGCAAGGGCTTGCAAATTTTACCAGCAACAATATTTCCACATGAAGGAAAAAAGTTTTTGAATTTAAACCAACTTGTTTAAACTGCACTGTTATGATGGAAACTTGACAGGCTGGGAACATTAACCTTATCTTACCCAGTGTTTCAGTGGCAGTATATTGAGAAACGTTGTCTTTGTCCCCTTCAACGGGTCCATATCTTTTTATGTTACTGTACCTTTAAGACAATGATAAATGAGATAAATGAGCTCTGTTCTAATTGGCTCTCCTGTATTGCGCATCATTCAAAAAGTACTCAGAGCTAAAACACTCCTTATAACTTCAACACGAGTGGACAGAGCTAAACTGCTGTAGGCTGAATAGGGGGATATATGTAAATGAGTTGGTTCTTGTGACATCACAGAAACAGTAACTTCAAAGCAGACTGTTTTTGCAGCATAATTTCACTATATGGACTGTATAGGCTGGGTAGTGAACAGTATGGCTTGAAACTTTAACGATGTTTAGGTATCCCCTCAAACTCTTATTTAAAAAAGGGGGCGGGGGGATTCTGTTTATTCATGATACGATCCCGTTAATTCAAGAAAATCTCTCTCACGTTGGACATAAAATGACATAAAATGGATCAGCATGTAGAATTAAAGCTAAAGGTCAGGAGTAGATAAAAAGGCAGAAATAGGTGCTTTTTTGACCTCTGCATTAAAGTGTTAACAAAGATTCTCACAGCCAAAGATGATACTATTTCACTGAATAAGGACAACTTTAGCAACCCAGCTACGATAAGTTCTGCAGTGACATCTGGAATTTGCACAGCTTTCCTGTGCAAGTTTTCAGATCGAGAACTGATTGCATGCCTAAATCATGTACAGAAGAAGCAGATAGCAGATCACATTTCTGTGGTGATTTGATTCTGTAGTAGAAACTGACTGGCTCATATGTGGAATGAGCTGCTCTTCCCCAAACAGCACGTCTCCTTCTATAACTGCAGCTGAAAATCGAGGCCAGGGACGGTGATAATGGGCAGCGTGTACAATAGTGCCCTCATCAGCTTCATTGCCCTCATGTTTATTTTTGTTATTGTAGAAGAAGTTATTTTGAAAAGCTTATAAATCAGAGCAAGATAAAGCTAGCAAGCTAACAAAGTAGATAGCAAGATGTTTCTATACAATACAGAATTGTTCCCCTAAGGAAGAAAAATATATGTGCATATATTTGCTTATATTAAAATATATGTACAATATATGTAATGTATAAAATGTACGTGCTAAATATATTTAACTGTGTCATTTATTTTTGAAAATTATATTAAATATATGCACATATATGGCAGTGTTTTGAAATATCTACACATAGGTATATAAAATATATTGTCGGAACTAAACCCTGTATCTCCAAAGTGGTCACTTTACAGGAGAGTAAAAAACTAGTTAACTTGTAATGGAAGTTTATGTAAAACGATTTGTTCCAAATACGTTTTTGCTTGACAGCGCAATATATTGAGTTTTCAGTATTTTAAACTGAAAAGTCAGAAGCAAAATTTCATTGCTTTTCATAATGTTTTGACATAAATTGATGCAGAGTATGAGCAACTGCTGTGAACATAACAAACTCAGATTGTAGTCTATAGAGACAGTAGCATGCCTGTAAGGAATCTTGCCCACTCTTGTAGTCTAGTGTTCAATTTATTCACAAAGCACCCAGTTGAGGAGCTTCAGTTCTGCACTGCCTGCATCACTCTTGGCTCTGCTGTCCTCGTTTGACCTGCGAGTGGAACTGAGTGCTCCAAAATGAATGGATGCACCACCACCTAGACCACAGAAGCCAAAAATAATACAGGGAAATCCTTGAGGGATAAATTAGAGCATGACCAGCAAAAACTGGTCCTAGATCAGCATTCTGAGTTATTACATAAGGCTCTGGGATTAGTAGTGCTGATCCTGGATCACATTTCTTCTCTGCATACTTTAGCCACTGAAAGACTGTAGTCACTATGTACTGAAAAGCTAGGAAAAAGAACTGCAGTTGTGCTCTGCTCTGCAACTCTCTCTACATCAGAATACATCCTGTCCATCGCCATGAATACATGTGTCAACTTTCCGCCTTTCATTTCCCCTCCTTTGAGGAAAACTAACTTGAAGCCTGATGCAACTTGCCATGACATTCGTTATTCCAAGTGTTTCATTTTTTTCCCCCTTGCACAAAAAAAGACCCTTTCAGATGACATTAACGTCAAACTCTCCTCATGCTCTGTGAACAAATCCAAGCTTTTCATTTAGCATTACGCTCAGCTGTACTTCTTAACCAGAACAGATGCACATTCTCACAGATGGACAGACAGACAGACGGACACACACACACACACACACATGAAAAGTTTTTTTTTTTAATGCAATCTTAAAAGTACATGCAAAGGTTAAGTCCAGGGCAAAGTTCCCATCGTGTCCCACCTGCCTTCCTGATTACACCGCTTCTTCCTTAAACAGATACTGATCTCGTTAAGGTTGCCTCAGCTGCACTTTCAAACACATTAATCTTCCATTAAGCATACCCTGTCTGCTCTTAGCATGAGGCAAATGAAGCTCTGATTAGTATGACGTGGCTGATCTTAAGCCGGTTAACTGGGCTTAGCTCTGCTGATAAGGCGATTCCCAGCAAAATTGGCAGAAGCTAAAGTTTGATGTTGTTCTGAAGACTTGGTGTCAGTTTACCTTGTAAAACGTCATGGAGATTGACGCATCGTAACATGACTTTTCACTGTGTCAGGGTCTGAAATGGCGCCTTCTCTGTCGTCCGTTGACATTTTGGATTTAGTAATAGGAAATGTCTCACAGAACTACTAGATCAGAACAAGATGAAGCCAGCAAGTTATGCCGGGGTTACACTACATGACTTTTACCCTGATTTCAGCCCCAAATCTCAGCCAGGCCGAGTCTCTGCTGGTCGGCTCTAGGTTGCATATTTTGGGACAGTTGGAGTCGATAGTTGGGAGAGATAATTGAGTAGTGTTCAAGGGACGTAAACTCCCAGTTCAGTTTCAGAACAAGAAGTGAATACTGTTCAAGGACTCAATCTGTACAGACTCCTCCAACATCCAATGAAAACCAAGAGTTTGGTCATTGTCCATTTTATCAGCTCCACTTACTGTATAGGTGCACTTTGTGGTTCTACAATTACAGACTGTAGTCCATCTGTTTTTCTGCAGACTTTGTTAGCCCCCTTTTACCCTGTTCTTCAGTAGTCAGGACCCCCCACAAGACCACCACAGAGCAGGTGTTATTTGGGTGGTGGATCATTCTCAGCACTGTAGGGACACTGACGTTGTGGTGTGTTGTGCTGGTGCGAGTCAATCAGACACAGCAGTGCTGCTGGAGTTTTAAAACACGGTGTTTACTCACTGTTCACTCTATTAGACACACTTACCTTGTAAGTCAGAGACAGCAGCTCATCTGTTGCTGCACAGTTTGTGTTGGCCACAAGATGCTGCCCACAGGACGCTGCTGGCTGGATATTTTTGGTTCGACTATTCTCAGTCCAGCAGTGACACTGAAGTGTTCAAAAATTCCAGCAGCACTGCTGTGTTTGATCCACTTACACCAGCGCAGCACTCACTAACACACCACCACCATATCTGTGTCTCTACAGTGCTGAGAATGGTCCACCACCCAAATAGTACCTACTCTTTACCTGGTCCTGTGGGGGTCTCTCAACCCACTCACAGTAATTAATACACACAGTAATTAATAAACAACCTTAATGAAGACCTGCATGCAGTTTTAGCGGTTTGAGAGAGGTTTTGGGGGTGTGAGGTGCAAGATTTAAATTACTATTGACTTCTAGTGTTTGTTAGCAATGTTA